AAATAAATGTGGTCTTACCGCACTATTTCATCTCTGTGTATGATTTGAAGCGGGCAGAATGCTAGCGCTAACATCATTTTTACCCATTCGGTCAAATATCGCGCTGCAAAGAGCAATACTAGTTTTAACTTGTCTATAACTTGGCAAATGACCATAGAATAAGCGGGATAATCAACGGCTAGCCGTGCGTTAAAGGATTTTAAATGCACGTTTACCCATTCGGTCAAATATCGCGCTGCAAAGAGCAATACTAGTTTTAACTTGTCTATAACTTGGCAAATGACCATAGAATAAGCGGGATAATCAACGGCTAGCCGTGCGTTAAAGGATTTTAAATGCACTTCGCAAAGGCAACCACCCTCCGCTTCACGGCAGGCAGTTCTTTGCCTCCATAAAAGGATTTTAATGCACGGCTAGCCATTAATTATCCCTTACTTAATCGTTTGACAGCACTAATATAAATATATACATGTAAATACATATATGCTGTATGTGTGTGTGTTATATATACATAATAAATAAACACAGTACATACACATATATTATGTAAACAAAAACTTTATTTTGGATGCGATTAATCGTGATGAATCGTTTTACTTACTATACTATATAGTAAGAGTTTGAGTTACTATAGAACTATTAAAAAACGCTTTCCTTAAAATAAAATAAAAACAAATAAAGCTGAAATAAAAGCAGGTTAATTTCACCTGTATTCAAGGAAAATATGATGTATATTGAGTATACTTCAGGCAAAAAGTAGCTTATAACACTGGAACAATGTTGTGTTGTTATTGTTAACTAAAACTATTACTACAGAACCATTAATTTTTTTTCCTTGAAATAAAATTCAAAAAGAAAAACATAAAATAAAAAACTTAAATGAAATACAAAAATATTAGATGATAACTTTTATTGAAAATTAGAAATGCTGCTTTGGCAACTAACTAAAAGAAGAAAGTAATTTCAAGTACTAAAATTAACACTAAATAAATAAAACTAAAATAAATTAAATGAAAATTAATTACAGTGAAAGTTGCAGATTTATTCAAAAAGAAAAACTGAAATATCACATGGTCTTAAGTATTCAGACCCTTTGCTGTGACACTCATATATTTAACTCAGGTGCTGTCCATTTGTTCTGATCATCCTTGAGATGGTTCTACACCTTCGTTTGAGTCCAGCTGTGTTTGATTATACTGATTGGACTTGATTAGGAAAGCCACACACCTGTCTATATAAGACCTTACAGCTCACAGTGCATGTCAGAGCAAATGAGAATCATGAGGTCAAAGGAATTGCCTGAAGAGCTCAGAGACAGAATTGTGGCAAGGCACAGATCTGGCCAAGGTTACAAAAAAATTTCTGCTGCACTTAAGGTTCCTAAGAGCACGGTGGCCTCCATAATCCTTAAATGGAAGACGTTTGGGATGACCAGAACCCTTCCTAGAGCTGGCCGTCCGGCCAAACTGAGCTATCGGGGGAGAAGAGCCTTGGTGAGAGAGGTAAAGAAGAACCCAAAGATCACTGTGGCTGAGCTCCAGAGATGCAGTCGGGAGATGGGAGAAAGTTGTAGAAAGTCAACCATCACTGCAGCCCTCCACCAGTCGGGGCTTTATGGCAGAGTGGCCCGACGGAAGCCTCTCCTCAGTTCAAGACACATGAAAGCCCGCATGGAGTTTGCTAAAAAAACACCTGAAGGACTCCAAGATGGTGAGAAATAAGATTCTCTGGTCTGATGAGACCAAGATAGAACTTTTTGGCCTTAATTCTAAGCGGTATGTGTGGAGAAAACCAGGCACCTGTCCAATACAGTCCCAACAGTGAAGCATGGTGGTGGCAGCATCATGCTGTGGGGGTGTTTTTCAGCTGCAGGGACAGGACGACTGGTTGCAATCGAGGGAAAGATGAATGCGGCCAAGTACAGGGATATCCTGGGCGAAAACCTTCTCCAGAGTGCTCAGGACCTCAGACTGGAACTAAGGTTTACCTTCCAACAAGACAATGACCCTAAGCACACAGTTAAAATAACGAAGGAGTGGCTTCACAACAACTCTGTTACTGTTCTTGAATGGCCCAGCCAGATCCCTGACTTAAACCCAATTGAGCATCTCTGGAGAGACCTAAAAATGGCTGTCCACCAACGTTTACCGTCCAACCTGACAGAACTGGAGAGGATTTGCAAGGAGGAATGGCAGAGGATCCCCAAATCCATGTGTGAAAAACTTGTTGCATCTTTCCCAAAAAGACTCATGGCTGTATTAGATCAAATGGGTGCTTCTACTAAATACTGAGCATTTTTCAGTTTTTCTTTTTTAATAAATCTGCAAAGATGTCAACAATTCTGTGTTTTTCTGTCAATATGGGGTGCTGTGTGTACATTAATGAGGAAAAAAAATTAACTTAAATGATTTTAGCAAATGGCTGCAATATAACAAAGAGTGAAAAATTTAAGGGGGTCTGAATACTTTCCGTACCCACTGTATATATAAAATACAAATCTATGTCTTTGTTTTTAATTATAATATAGTATATAATGTAATGATATTTTTAATTAAAATGTAATTTTAATTTAATTTTAATTATAAGTTATAATATAAATATATTTTTTAAAAGTGCAATGCATTGCTGTAAAGGTGAATTATTATTTTTTTTTTTTACAAACTGAGGGCTGAGTTTAAATGATTTTATATAGCAGTTGACAGTGTGTCAAAGATATAGATAAACAGTATAAATTATACATTTGCTATTACACTGCATTGCATTTCACTGCATAGATATTCCAGTGATACAATTCTATTCTTAACATCATAGTGCAATTATTATATATAGTCACAGATGAATTTCACAAAAACATCCAGATCTTATTTCACTCCAAAATCAAAAGAAAAAAATGAATTTATTTACCTTAATTATATATATAAATTATATATCTTTTGCAGTATTTGCAAAACTAAACCACAATTATGTGATAACATGGCAAATTATCAGGCAAAAAAATTATGTGCATAGCATCTGAATGCAGATATATATCTTTTCCACGATAATAATTTTCAACCATGATAAGGCTCAGCTTCTATTAAACCCAGACAAATCTGTTTAAGATGTTCTTTATCTTTTTTCAGATATGAACAAACGTTCTTCCAGTAATGTTAACAGAGCGTTCGCTCCGAGTTATCTGGTCTTTAATAGTGTTCTAAAAACATTAGCACAAAAACAAAGGTATAAAAAAGGAATGTTTAATTTGTGCAATATTTTAGTCAAACATTTGTTTTTAAATGTAACTACTTTTTTTCAAAACATTCTGGGAACCTTCAAAAGTAACATTTCTGTAACGTTTGCGAGAATTCTAAAATGGAATGTTTCGTTAACATAACCAAGAAAGAATGCTTTTAAAACATTTTAAAAACTGGATGTTCAGAGAACATTCCAAAATAACCTTTTAGGAACAAATATTTTTGGTATCTATATTTATGCTTAAACATTTATATTTAAAGAGTTAGGTTGAGAGTTTTTAATTAGATTTATTAATTTAAAATTAAATTAAATAGTAGGCCAACATCAATGAAAAAATAAATCAAATTAAATTAGGAACCCACACACACACACACACACACACACACACACACACGTTTGTTGTGAATTGTGGGGACTTTCCATAGACTTCTATTACTTTTATACTGACCAAACAATATTTTCTATCCCCTAACCCTAAACCTACCCCTTACAGAAAACCTGTTTGCATTATTACACTTTCAGATAGACATCATTTACTATTCTTAATAATTTTTTTACCCTTGTGGGGGCCGCAGGACGGTCCCAACAATGTCAAAAATTTCAGGTTTTACTATCCTTGTGGGGACATTTGGTCACACACACACACACATACACATAACCTAATGGAAATGCTAGAAAAATGTTTTTAGAAAATATGTTTCTTACCTTGAAGTTGTATGTGGACTGGGGCCTCCTCGGTGTTTCTATCTCGGGCTGATCTGAGTTCAGTCTCACTCCATCGTTTTTGCTGTAGGTGCTGTCGAGACACGATACGGGCCTCTGGTTGGGTTTTACATCTCTTTTATCAATACCAGGCTCTTCACGAGCAGTTCTAGGCGCGAGTAGAATGTCCCGGGGCATCAGCACCGGCTGTCCCATGAACATGGACTTGGCTCTGGGTCGAGACTCAGTGGAGTTTATGGTGTAGCTGTTCTTGGATTCGGGCCGTGGGCTTCCGCTCTCGCTCTGGATCTGTCGGGATCTCGAGCACCAGTCTGACACCGGCTGCCCGTTCCTCCGACTGGCCTCATTGAGCTCCTGATATTCATAAGTCTCTCCTTCGGCTACCTCACCCAGACGGCCCAGAGACTGGGCTCTTTTCCTTAAAGACGGGCTGGTTCTCCTCAACGAGTTCGAGCTTGTAACAGAGAGTCGATTCATCTGAGCGATCGCCGCAGAAATGTAGTCCTCATGTCCGATGAAACTGCCGCGAACGATCCTCTAGAAGACAGAATTCAGCATGACATTAAAACGGACTCTATTTTAAAAGATTTGACTGCACTGACACAAATATAGCACTGCATCAGTGTCTCAGCAATGGATGCTCTGCAGTGAATGGGTGCCGTCAGAATGAGAGTCCAAACAGCTGATAAAAACACCACAATAATCCACAAGTAATCCACAGCACTCCAGTCCATCAGTTAACATCTGGAGAAGACAAAAGCTGAAACAAATCCAGCATTAAGACGTTTTTAACTCCAATACATTGAGTTCATAATCCATAATAACGCTTCCTCCAGTGAAAAAGTGGCCTGGTCTGAATCAGGAGAGAAATCTGCACAGATCAAAAACTGCTCTAAACAAATATGTGGCTGGATTTTGATTTGAGAGACAACAGATGATGCACTTTTTTTTATGGATTATGGACTCGTGTATTTTAGTTAAAAATGTCTTAATGCTGGATGTGTTTCAGCTTTTGTCTTCTCCAGATGTTAACTGATGGACTGGAGTGCTGTGGATTACTTGTGGATTACTGTGATGTTTTTATCAGCTGTTTGGACTCTCATTCTGACGGCACCCATTCACTGCAGAGCATCCATTGCTGAGACACTGATGCAATGCTACATTTCTCCAAATCTGATGAAGAAACAAACTCATCCTGATCTCGGATGACCTGAGGGTGAGGGTATTTTTTAATTTTTGTATTGTCATAGATCAGCTGCACACTCAGATCAGTGTCATATGCAGGAAACAGATGCAATTATATAATGCGCATGATGCATGACAGCTTTAATTACAGCAGTGCTGGTTAAAAACACGTCGTGCTTCACATTCCTGCTCGGAAAACTGGGAAACTTTAGCCATCAACGACGTGCCTCTCAGATGAAGATGGTGCTTCATCACTCACTCAGTTACCAAAAATCCAGTTCATGCAGCTACAGTTACAGTTTGATTGACAGCTGATAGATCTTTATACAATTATTTAATTGTGGATGTTTGTCCCCAGGACTGTTTTAAAGAAAAAACGTATATTTATTATAATGTTCGCCTCATGTTTTGGTTTAATTGTCATGCAAATAATGCCAATAAATTTTGAAAATAATGCAAAAAATACAAATGTTGTAATGCATTTTTTTTTTTTGGAGTGAAATATGATCTAGACATGTTTTTGTGAAATTCACCTAATGACTATTTATATAATAATTACATAATAATGTTAAAAATAGAGTTGTATTACTGGAATATACAATATATCTATGCAGTGAAATGCTTTGCAACTATATAATGCTTGTCTGATATTTTTGATAAATTTGCAAAATAAATTTGCTTAATTGTCATTTTGAATTCTCATAAAAATAATATACGAATATAATAATGAATTAAAGTTTTGCATATAATTCAAAAAATATAAAATTTTCTTTAAGCAATAAGTTCTTCTTTCTTTCTTTCTTTCTTCATGCATGCATAAAATATGAACTGGAAATGTTTTTGTGAGATTCACCTACCTAGTGAACATATAACAAACAATATTAATGTTAAAAATAGCATTGTATTGCTGGAATAATATATTTTTTGCTTTATTGTCATTAAAATAATGTCAATAAATTTTGCAAGAATTTAGTGAACTGGACAAGAGAAAGCAATATATATGATGCTGCTGCTGATGAAATCATTATATAACAGCAGCGTTGAGCAGGTCTGTCAAGTCATAATTAGTGGATAGAGACGTTTAGTGTCACATTATGAAAACATTTGAATGGTGTTTCTGATACGTGAGAACCCTGGGGAAATAAAGCAAACCTCCCTCGACAGAACCAGTTTAACAGAGACACATGATTATTCACAACTGGAGCTGCAAACATGAACCTGAAACACTTTCTCAGGGAAAAGCCCTGTCTTTGTGGGACGTGCTGCAAGGAGTGTGCCTCAATCACATTTCACAGCAAAATCAAAAGATAAAATGCAGATTGTGATTTTTTTTGTCACAAATTGTCAGAAAAATAACGTCACTTAGTTTTGCAAATAATGCATATATATTTTTTTTTTAATCTGGACATGTTTTTGTGAGATTCATCTAGAGATTATATATAATAATTATATAATGAAAACAGAACTATTATTCACTGTAATTTCATAAAAATAATGCTACTAGTTTTAATAATTAATTTTATTTGTTTAAATTTAATTTATGTATAATTCATACTATAGTTTATCTATATATACAATAAACCATAACATGACTGCATGCATTCAACAAAATACATAACAATTGCATGCAAAAAGTGCAAGAATATCCCATGCAAACCCCACATGTTTTCATGTTTGGATACTGAAGGAGCTTTACCTTCTGCGGTTTGAGCTGCACCTGCGTGACGCTGGAGGGGTCCACCACAGGTTTGGGTCTCCGGAGCGTGTCTATGAGGCTTTGCCATTGAGGCGGCAGACCCACGAAGCAGCCCTGCACCGGGTCGAAGGACGTGTGCACCCTGTGCTCGAAGTTCCTGGGAGTGGAGATCTCCAGCCTCCTCTTCTTCTTCTTCTTCCTCTGGAACATCCTGACAGCCTGCTGGAAACAAGAGTCTGTCCCGTCATAACACGACAGCAGAGCCATGCGCTCGCCTTCACAACACGCTCTGAGAAAACACAACAGCCTTCAAAACCAGACTGAAGCAGAGGCGGAGCCAGATGAGACGAGAGCTGTCAATCAGACACCTGAGGACACGCCCCTTTCCTGAAGCAGGTCAGAAACACACTTAAACCTGAGACTGAGAGCATCCTGTAACACGGTCGTAGATCGAGTCTAAATGCATATTTAGTGAACCATGAGAAACTAACTACTAGTGAGTGGATCAATATTGCTGTGGGTCAATGAAAGAGACCACATGATTCCCCGTATATTGGATTTCTCAAGATAAAGAGAGCTTTATAAACCTATAAAGTCACTGTTTCATATTTTATATAAGCCTCAAACTTTGCTTTGTCACTCAGTCTACTCTAATTTTTTATCCAGTAAAAGCTCTTTTAGTGTAATTGTAGAAGCACTTCTCGTGTCTTTCTGCTGTCAGATCTTGATCTAAGCGTCAGAATAACTGCAGTAATATCTCCAGATGAACACTTACTGGACTGAAGCAGCTCAGCTTTACTTGATTCTCCATCAATCATGTTTTAGAGTCTCAAATCTGATCCTCAGGATCTTTTGAGGAGCGTTTGTTTCCAGAAGCTTTACTTTCACTGTTCCTCAGCGGAGGAATGATCTTCACAAGCCTCCAGAACATCTCACATCTTCTGAGGAGCCTTTATTTCTTCAGCTCTCAATCACTGCATTATATGTTTGGAGCATTTACATCTCAGCTTACTGAGACTGATTATTGGAGATATGTTGACCACTAATAGTTATATTAGACATTTTATGTCAGTATCTGTTATAAAGATCTCACTGATTTACATTACAAGTTATTAAAATTTTATCTTACTTTTTGGCCATATAAATTGTCACAAATAATGCAAAATAAATAAAATAATATAATAAAATAAAATAAATATAAATAATGACTAAATTAAATAAATTATATTAAGTTAGTTAAATAATTAAAATAATTTAATTAATTAATATAATATTTATATTATTGTTTATAATAATTATTTTATTTTATTTTATTGACTTTATATAATAATTACATCATAATGTTAAAAATAGAATTGTATAACTGGAATATACAAAATATACAATATATCTATGCAGTGAAATGCTATGCACTAAAATATATATTGTTTTTGCCTGATATTTTTTTCTTATGATAGTTTTTCAAATATATACAAAATAATTATTATGTAATATGTTAAAAAAATTATTTCAACTACCTAGTAACTATATGTAATAATTACATAATAAAGTTAAAAATAGAATTTTATTTCTATAATATACAAAATATCTATGTAGAGAAATGATATCTACTATATCATTTTGTCTGATAGTTTTCCTTATTTATCGTTAAAAAAATAATGTGTGAAAAATAGTGAGTGAAATATGATCTAGACTTGTTTTGTTTGTTTGTGTGTGTGTGTGTTGTGTGAGTGAGAGAGTGTGTGTGTGTGTGTGTGTGAGAGAGATTCACCCACCTAGTGACTATAAATAATAATTACATAATAATGTTAAAAATAAAATGTTATCACTAGAATATAGAATATATAAAAGCTTAATATCAAATATATAATTTGTCAGATATTTCCGTTATTATCATAAAAATAATGTCATAAAAAGTTGTGCAAATAATGCATTTTTTTTTACTCTCTGTTATTTTTTTGGAGTGAAATATGATCTATTGTTTGCCATTTCAGGTATTATTCTGTCTTCTGTACGTAAATATCAAATTAAAACAACATGCATATTTATGATGCTTCTCTCTTTTTTTAAATAATAATTAACATCTTGCAGATTCTTCAAGGCTCTTGCAAACATACACATTCACTGTGAGCTGAGCATTACTACTTCAGTTGTCCAGGGTTAGCCTATAAAAACCTGTGGTTCCTAATTTGTTTAGTCAAATTGTGCTTGTTGTTTAATGTAGGTTTCTATATGATTCAGACCTGCATTAGCAGACGTGTCTAATACAACAGTGACCGCTATAATCAACACTAACGCTTTCATTTCCAGCTCAGATCTTTAAACATACTGTACATACTGTACATGAACTAAAGCCAGTGCGTCTGTAAACTCCTCTTATGAAAGCTGTCAATCAATATTTGCTCACTAGTGAACATTAAACAGTGAGCAGAAAATAAGCGATATAACAAGATAAGACACACAAATGCATGAAAATCTATTGGGCTTTTTTTTTTTATCTATTATGTTTATGTATAAAGTCTGTTTTCAAAAAGTAAATAATAATTATAGAATATATCCAGCATTTCTGGCACCGTCCTCAAATATTAATATTGAATGGCGAAGCATAATTTCATTTGTTCAATAAAAAGTTGTTTTTTTTTTAAATAATTTTTTAATAAAGAAATTTAACCACTAATTGTTTTTATGTTATATTTAAATATAAAAAAATGTATAGAATGGTGGAGAATGGTTTTTGAATCTTTGAAATTTGCCAGAAAGGAATAATATATTATTTTAGCTATTTTAGAAATATATTCATATATCATCAGCATTGATTTACTATAGTTTTTGTTAATTTTTAAATAATATTTTATTTTTTATATTTTCTGTTTTCAGTTTAAATTAAAAGTTTTAATATTTTTGGGGTGTGTTTCTTTAACATTTTCATCATTTTTTTAAATAACTGTCTATATAGTTTTTAGTTTAGTTTATTTAGCTTTATTTATTTTAGTACTTCAACTTAAACTAAACGAAAAGGAGACATTTTGCTTTGGCAACTATCTGAAATAAAATATGTTTTTTTATATTTATTTCAGTTGCCAGGGGACTTTTTTATCCATTATGTTTAAGTATAAAGTCTGTTTGCAAAATAATAATAATAATTATAAAATAGTTCCAGCATTTCTGGCACTTTCCTCAAATATTAATATTGAACGGTGAAGAATGTCATTTCTGTAAGAAAACTTTATGTCTGAACTATATCCATATTTGTTCAATAAAACAGTTCAAATGCATGGATGCACTGACAGAGAAATTTTACCCACTAATTGTTTTTATGTTATATTTAAATATAAAAAAATGTATAGAATGGTGGAGAATGGTTTTTGAATCTTTGAAATTTGCCAGAAAGGAATAATATATTATTTTAGCTATTTTAGAAATATATTCATATATCATCAGCATTGATTTACTATAGTTTTTGTTAATTTTTAAATAATATTTTATTTTTTATATTTTCTGTTTTCAGTTTAAATTAAAAGTTTTAATATTTTTGGGGTGTGTTTCTTTAACATTTTCATCATTTTTTTAAATAACTGTCTATATAGTTTTTAGTTTAGTTTATTTAGCTTTATTTATTTTAGTACTTCAACTTAAACTAAACGAAAAGGAGACATTTTGCTTTGGCAACTATCTGAAATAAAATACGTTTTTTTATATTTGATTTCAGTTAATGTTTATTTTATTTCAAGTAATGAAAATGTTTTTGTATGGTTTTAGTTTTAATTAATGATAATAAAATTAAATAAAATAATTTTTTACAAATACATAATAATTATACGCTAATAATAACCTGATAAATAACATGGATACATATTTATAAAAATAGAAATTTCACGATACACCTGAGATATATATGTGCCACCCCTACTCAATCTTTTAATATCAGATTAAGCAGACCAATTTTTAAAAATATATATACTGTATATATATATATACACACAGTTGAAGTCAAAATGTACTTCAGAATCTGCAAAATTATTCAGTACTGACCTGAATAAGATATTTTACATAGGGTTAGGGTTCATAAAATTCCTTCAGGTCCCACAAATTCTTTGGTTTTCCAGCATTTTTGTGAATTTGAACCCTTTCCAGCAGTGACTGTATGATTTTGAGATCCATCTTTTCACACTGAGGACAACTGAGGGACTCTTATGCAACTATTACAGAAGCTTCAAACGCTCGCCGATGCTCCAGAAGAAAAAACAACGCATTAAGAGCCGGGGGGTGAAAACTTTTTGAAATTTTAAAAAGATTACCTCAATTTAGCACCAGCAAGCTTGTTAGCTAGACAGTTAGCATCAGCTAACATTGACTTATTTTCAGCATGGTTATGAATAAACATTTATATTTGTCTACTCGGCTAGTTGATCCAGATACATAGTAACTTAGGCTATGTGTGCTGACAAACAATATAAAAACAGACGTCACATAGGGCTAAATGCATAGCATTTTAGTAAAACTGCTAATGTTAAAGCAGCGGGGAAGATGAATGTGCATGAGTTATTTGATTTAATCGGTGTTATTTAAATGTTTTTTGACCTAAAACATAGAGACTCTGATGTTAATGTGGCTTAAACAGATCACTCTTTACAGCAGATTTAGTTCACAAACAACTGACAGTTTTGACCTAAATAGGATTTTCAGTTACAATAATTAATCCTAAAATTCGACATTAGTAACTACTTTAACAGCATCAGTCGCGCGCGCGCTCACAAGATCTCCCGGTTCTTACTTGTGAATGCAGTTTGTGTCGGAGCACGTGATATATTATAAGGAGTAACGATACGTTTTATGAAATGTAGTGAAGTAAAAAGTACAATCTTATGCTTTGGTAAAAGTAAAAGTTACTCAAAATAAAACTACTCCAGTAAAGTACAGATACTTGAAAAATTTACTTAAATACAGTAACGAAGTAAAACTACTCCGTTACTGTCCACCACTGGAAACGTTACATTTGAATGTTCTCTAAAACAAGTAGTAACATTTAGACCAACGTGCAATTAACGTTTCAGAGAAACGTTACATGAGTGTTGATGTAACATTTTTATGCGAACGTTTTTAGAACATTATTAACTTTGAACGAAGTTCTATTGAAGTTATTAGAAGAATATTTGTTTAACACTTTGCCAGAATGTTAGCTAAAGTTCTGAGGACATATTTAGTTTGTGTCTTATTAGTGCCCAGCTAACAAAAAACACGTTCTGAGAACGTTCAGTTTTTTCAAAATGTGTATATATATATATATATATGAACATTGCATTATATATACTTCGCATTATAAGATTATGGTAACGTTACTTTTGAATGTTCTCTAAACGTTCTGAAACAAGTGGTAACACTTAAAACAATAGCGTTCAAAAAACATTGACAAGTGTCAACTAGAACGTTTCAGAAAAAGTGTATAAATTGTTTTTAAGGTTGTAAATGTTTATAGAACATTCTATTATAGAACATTATATTAACGTTACTAGAAGAACATTTGTTCATAACGTTGAGAGAATGTTTGCCAAAGTTCTGGGAACAGCGTTGAGGAACAGTATGTGCAAAGTTTGTGTCTTATAAGCTAACAAAATACGTTCTATGAATTTATGAGTTTTG